TCTCTCCTCCATTTGCAAACCTAGGTGAGGCCCACGTCCCCTTTTGAAGGTAGTGAGGAGAAAGCTGGAGAACACTCAGAGGTTGCTAGTTTTTCATAGAACTGGATGGGACATACAACTAAATGCAACATAGAGCAGAGGGATGGAATCCCAGTGATGGAGCAGGGTTTGAGAGGGTGCAGCTCATATATTTTTTCTGACTTATTCTGGACTATGCAGACCCAAGCACATTCCAAAGAGCTGAATGGTGACACACCTCTGGCAGGGCCACCTGAGTAGAGGGATACTTTACTCTGCCAGGGCCTGGCTTTGCACACTTGCAAGTATTCTTTCCTGGTGACAGGGAGGAATGCCATGATTAGTCTCCAGGCTACCAGAGTAGACTCACCCCCACCATCCCTACTGGGTAAGAACCAGCACTGGTCTCTATTTGAAAGCGTCTCATTATGGGTGTTTGTTCAATTTTGTTAACTCTGCCCAGCACATAGTAGGTGATCAATAGGTAATTGTTGTTTGAGTTAATAAACTCTTACCCTCTCTCAGAGTTTGGTTCTGCAGTATAATACAAGAATAAGTGACACTGGCTTCCCCTTTGTCACCACTGCTCCCTTCTGGGATGTGCCCTGAGTATCTCCCACAGCTCTCTGCCTTTCTACTGTGATTGTGCTTGTGCACTTACATATACATCTGCGGACACACACACACAAGGCTTACGCTTCCCACGCCTATTTTGGATATGTTCACTGCTCATCCGTATCTATTAGTGCAGAAACACATGAGTTCCTGCTTAAGATCTCACATTCTCCATTCAGGGCTGTGTCTACAGATATTTTCCAGTGCTTTTAGATGTCTAGAGGCATCAGCATCAATCATTGTGACTGCTGTCATAGCACAAGTTCTTACTAAGTGCTGGGCACCGTGTACTAGTTTTCATTCATCATCTCATTTACCGCTAGCAGTAGCTCTAAGAAATAAGTCTGGTTATCCTATTTTAACATTGAGAACACTAAGACTCAGGCAAGTTAATTTGCAAGTTAATTTGCTTCATCAAGCATCAACCATGAGCCCAGCTAGAAACCCTTGTCTGTGCAAATAACCATGCCATGGTACTTAACCATCAAGGTGAGGGTTTGGCAAGTCTTAAAGCAGGAGGGATGTTGAGGTTCGGAGGCATGGCATGTCCTAGCCACCAGGGGCTGCTGTTTCCCCATAGACCTCAAAAATGCAGTCCAAGCTTGGACCGAAGAGCCTAAGGGAGTCCCCCCAACTCGATGTGCCCACCCCCACTTACCATGGTCCTCAGCACAATCTTTATCCTGCCCAAACCACAGCCCAACAAAAGGGGGCATGAGGAGGTTGTCAATTACAGATGCCAAAATAGAAGTCTAAACTGGAACATGTGATTGTTCTGCCCCGTCCAAATTTCTTCCAGTTGTAGGGGTCTGTCTGCCTGATTTTCAGGGGCACGGCTAACTGCTAGGTCCCCTTCCTGAGAGAGGAAGCCTGGCTTCCAGGGATGTGCATCCCTGGGGTGGGAGGATCCAGTTAGGTCAGTGCTATCAACTTGAGGTATGGAAGATGATGTTGGAGGTGCAGGAGGAAAATACTACAACTTTTATTTACATATTTATATTTTTATCTGAAAATAAGAATATAGTTTCACTAATATTTGATGTCCAGATTGGTGCTGGCTCCGTCATTGAATTGTATGTCCAGTAACCCTGTATTAGTAAAGTATGTATGGTGTCCTGAGGAAAGAGTGGAGGCACCGTCCAGGACCCAGTATGGTTTATGAGTTCCTGGAGGAGTGCGCTTACAGAGTATACTATATAATTAAACTAAAGTAATCCTTTTGGCACAGACAAGTAGCTTTTACAGATTCCTACATAGAAACCAAGGTTCGAAGGTAAAACTAACAGCACCTGCACAAGTGAATGAGAGACAGATCGATGACTGAGCTGTCACTTCCTCTCCTTGTCTGAGCTCCTAGCTGCATGATGACATTAAAACAATGACAGTCTGAACAGATCTGACAAGACGTAAGTCTCCCAATTTCAAACCTGTCAAAACTATTTGAAATTATATCTATTATCATTTATGGTGAGGCTTGCTATGATATCAAAAATAACTGCCTTATGTCAATGGTAGCTAGTGATAGGAGTGCAAATATATGATATGTCGGAGTGAAAGCAAAAACAGGTTTGGAGGCTGAGGTGCAGATCAAAAGAGCTTGGTGGTAGCCAGTATGTGTGGCCACCAACAGTTCAGTGTCCCGGTCCTGACAGTTCTTACAGTTTGCTGTGGGCTCAGGGCATTGGCATCGGGTTTGGTGAAGATTGTTGCCAACACTGCACAGGTGCCAGGCACTGGAACTATGACCCTTTGAAATTTGGTTCAGGTTCCAATGGAGGCATTTTAAATCAGGTGGTTTTTGTTTGCCTTTGGTGTGCTTCATGTGTGTCCAATTCCTGTAATAGGAGAGAGAAGAGGTGGAGAGGGAGGTGCTAGCCCTCTGTTGCATGGCTTTCTTCCATGTTCACTAGCATATGTCATGTCTACTTTGCAGGACTCCCACGGGTCCACCCTGGTTTGCTGTACATGTCTGCATCCTGCACAAGGGAGGGGTGTCCCTCTCAGCCCCACTCCCTACTTTCTTCCTTTCAGGAGCAGAAAATTTAAAAAAAAATCTCATGGGATTTGCTCAAACCTTGACAGAGAGTTTGTTCTAAGTGAACTTACTGAGAACAGATGTTAGGTCATCTGCATCTGTTCTTATCTCCAAACGAATGGCATCAGGATTCTTGAATTTTTAATGTGTATTTATTTTTGAGAGAGAGAGAGAGAGAGAGAGAGAGAGAAAGGTGGGAAGGGGCAGAGAGAGAAGGAAACACAGAATTGGAAGCAGGGTCCAGGCTGTGAGCTGTCAGCACAGAGCCTGATGTGGGGCTCAAACTCATGAATCACAAAATCATGACCTGAGCCAAGTTGGACGCTCAACCGACTGAGTCACCCAAGTGCCCCTGCTTAAGACAGTCTTAAACATGCAGATTCCTGGGCCCTATTTGAGCTCTCCTAACTCAGAATCTATGAGTAAGCCGAGGAAAATACATTTTAAACAAACCCTTGCCCTCCCTGATCCCACCAACCGGTGATTCTGAAACACTCACATTTAAGAAATACTACTCTATAAAATGATACTTTGGGAAACTATAGTTTTTTGAAGAGTTTATCATTTCAACTCATTTTTCTTAAGATGGGATAGGTAGGGCCTGGTAGCTTTCAAGAATTTTAAGCACAAAAATGGAGTGAGACTCAGAGGGGGATCAGCCGTTCACCTAAGTGTACCTGAGCATCGACAGCAGACAGGAGCTTGCCCTCTATGCCCAGTTCTGCCGCACATGCTGGACACATGGGTTTGGGGGAGCGAGACAACAGTCCACACATCGGTGAAGAAGAGCCTGGCTTGCAGCAACTCCATGGTAAGGGAGTACATTTCTGAAGCAAATTCATCCCTGAGACCAGCTCATTGCTTGGGCCCAGTGGAAATTACAGTCCCACTCATCTTTACCAGGTGACCTCAGAACTCAAGGCTTAAAGGCTAGCCAATCTAACCACATGACCAGCACAATCCAGGGGGGACTTTTTTTTTTAGCAAAAAATCAGCACAATGGCATGTAGGTCTCAGAATACTAAAGAGCACTCTCTAGTCAAGGCAGCAGTTACAGTTCCCGCTGCTGCTGGTCAGTCCCGGCTCCTTCAAGACTTGACTGGAGAATAGCCCCTTCCACAAGACCCAATCTGTTGACACTGTGCCCTAGCCTGGCACGTCAGTCGTCCCACAGCACCCTGGGTCTGCCTTCCCCCAGTGGAAAGTGACTCAGGGAAGGGAAGAGAAGGCCAGCCTGGGTTCAGTAACCGTCTGTAAAATGAATATCATCATTGGGGCTCCTCTTGCAGCTAACTTGAGTCATTATCACCTCAAGCACACTCTGACCCCACTGAGACAGAGCTCTGGCACTGCCGTTGGATGAACTGCCAGAGTGGTGTGAAATGTTTAGAATGTCCATTTTCTGTGTCATGGAGAAGAGGCAGACCTGCGGCCAGGGCTGCAACCTCAAACCATGGCCACTTGCCACCTTGTCACTCTGGGCCTATGTCTAGATGCTGTAGGTAGGAAGAGTGTTAGCCCTGGCAGGTTGAAAGGGCCACCGCATTTTCTTCCTCACACAGTCTGAGAAACCAACCAAACCATGTTAGCCAGCTGTCACGCCTGGCCACCAGTCCAGCTCTCCTGACTCCCCACCCTTTCCTGCAGCTGAGACAAATGAGAGTTTGACTTCTGCTTTCCCACCTTTCCTGGCAACATTCACAACCCTCCCTGATGGTAAGCAATGCGAGTTCCAGGCATGCTTCATTGTTGGCTTCCCAGGCGTCATTTTAACCACAGGGTGAGTCCCTAACTGGTGGTGGGATGATAAACATGCAGATTTCTACAGGCAGACAGTGTTAGGCTGCAGCTTCTTTGCCACTAAGAAAGATACATGTCAACAAACTGAGACAATGGGTGAAAGCCCACACCTTCCCAGCACTACCCAGCATTCACAGTGAGCAGGTATCTGGGAAGACAAGTTACTTGTCCCCTCAAGCAGAAGGAAGTAAACAGTACACCCTCCTCTCCTTCATGTTCCTGGAGGGTGGAAGTGACTTAAATAGGACAGCCTAGTCCTGGTTTGGGGTAAAAGCATTTCTTTAGGTACTCATGTTCATGTCAGTGGTATTTTTTTTTTTATGTCAGTGGTATTTAATATTGGTGCAACTGTATGAATGCATGTGATATGAGTCGTCTCTGCACCGTGCTGGAGGCCATCATGGGGGGTGGGGGACTGGGGGTGGGCTTTCAACTTTCTTGGGCTTCAACTGCCATCAGTAGCAGTGATGCTTGCTAAGAAGCAATGCTGCTTTTTTTCAATGGGGGCCAATGTGCAGACCTGCAGACCTACAGATCTACTTGGTCCATTTTTTCATAGTGTCCACCTAGAGCCGCAGGGACTAGGGACGTGCCACACTTCCTTGCCTTAAGCCCACCTCGGAGCAGCTGGAAAAGATACTCTGTGGGACCTGGGTAACTGGAACAGGATGAGGCCTGCAGCTCCTTCATCTAGGTCTCTAGCCCCAAAGATGCCTGTGGGTAGGACGTGGCACGCAAGGGTGGGGGGTTCCTGAAGAGGTGCCAGACCATTGGAGAAGGTCAAGGCCAGCAACTTGGGTAAAGGATGGAAAGCCAGAAGAGGAAGTAGCCTTGGAGTTGGGATTTTGATGTTAAGGCCCTGGAGAGCCACTGGTTTTCACCTGATTTGACTGGCAACAAGTAACAAAAAACAAAAACAATAGTGGAGAGAAGCTGTGTTGCTGAGATGGAAGCAACAAAAGTCGCGCGGGAGTCCTAATATAGTGCCCGGAAGTTGGAAGCTTCCCGGGGAGCAGGAAGCAGGCGATTCTCGGAGCCAAAGGGCAGGCAGCCTGCAGCAGGAGAGCGTAGGAGGAGGCGCGGAAGGCGGGAGCTGTGGGCCATGGGCTTCAAATGCTGGGCCGGGTCGCCTCCGGTAGCCCCGCCGCCAGGGGGCGCCCGCTCGGGCTGGGGCCCCGCGCGCCCAAGGGCGAGGCCTGGGGGCGGGGCCTGGGGGAGGAACCGGGGGCGCGCGGGGTGGGGTGGGGGCCCTGGCTGCACTCCCGTAGCAGCGGGAGGAATGCGGCCTTTGGCTCATCCTCTGTCCGCATTCCGGCCGGCGCTGGAATGTGAACAGCGCGTTCACTGCGTGCCCTGAACGCGCAAGTGCGGTCCCCTCCCGTCGGGGAACGACAGGCAGCGGCTTGTGGGGAGAGGCCACCCCACAGAACCAGCAACCACCCGACCGGGTGGAGGACCAGACCCTGCGGGCTGTCAGGCCAGCGGAGGACTCGGCACCAGTCCCGGGGCAGGGGTGCCTTGAGACCAAGTGTGGTTTAAGGAGGGAAACCAAAAGTAGTCAGTCTACTGAGGCACCGAGGATACAGGACTGACCCTCTCTACCACCAGCCTTAAGGGGCACAGATTTCAGGCTCTAAGATGTCTTTAGGGCATATTGTGGATGGCAAGGTCTGGAGAGAGGAAGGGAAAAGCGGATGATTCAATCTGGGATTAGGTGCTCTCTGACCAGCCAGGGAGCGAAGGAATACCCAAGAGTAAGCATTTCATTCATTCAACAACTAGTGAATCTCTGTTCTGTGCCAGTCCCTGAGCTAAATTCTGGGGACACAGAAGTGAGCAAGGCATCCCCTGACCTTCAGGAATTGACCTGATCCTGGAGACAGTTGCTGAAACACCCGGAAGGAGCAAGGAAGCCCAGGAGAACACAGAGGAATAACCCAGACTGGTGGGGGAGATCCAGGAAGGCTTCTCAGGGGAAGCTGCAAAGGGACCTGAAAGGCCAATAGGAGTTAGCTCAAAAGAGGGTGAAGGGTGTTCTAGACAGAGGGAACCTTGCGTGTGAAGGCCCAGGGAATAGAGTGGCCCCCAAGCAGAGTCTGGGCTTGCCCTCCCTGAAAGTGCCTGCCAGATGGCCAGCTGAGTCAAGGATCAGGGTGTCCACCTCAGTCTACATGATTTTGGTTTGTTTATGGAGCCCCATTCTGCCAGAGGCCCAGGAGCTTGCCTGTGAGGAGTATAAAGAGGATTGGGACTCAGCATGCTGCCTTGCAGTATTATGGAGACTGAGAGATAAGGCCCCCTAAGACATCTGGCATGGAGCCTAGTACCTAGTAGGTGCTCAGTAAAACTTGGCTGTTTCTATCAACACATGGCCTGATTCACTGACTCCTTCTCTTCCCTTCAAGACAGCCATCTCTGCCTCTGAAAAGGGCAGCTCTCCTCCACCCCTTCATCTCTGAGGAGGTGCCCGGTGGAGGGGTGGATGCTGTAGGGATGGTCAGGGAACTTCCTGTCTTCTTGTCTTTCCCTGGTTGAGGAGGGGGAGCATGCAGGAGATGAGACACGTGTGGCTGGCTGTGACAAAGGCCCTGGAATATATCTGGGGAACCTGGTGCTGCAGGTGCAGGTGGTTAGGAGCAGAGAAGGGCCTCCGTTGGAGGTGCGGTGTGGGAGGGTGACCCTTGGCTGAGGATAGGATGAACAAAGCAAGGGGGGTCAGGGCCGTAAAGGATGGACTTGGGCAGTAGTCCAGAAAAGCAGAGATAAAGCCTGATAAGAGCTGAAGCGGGGAGGATAGAAGGCAGTGCTGGGAGACAGAGACTGAGGAGGCCGATGAGACCAGTTGCTTGGCTGCGGGGTGGGGTCAGGGCTCCAAATCCACCGCTAGATCTGCTAGATCTTCCCCTGGGGTGGGTCAGTATGGATGTGCGTGCTGGTGGGAGGCCGCAGGAGATCATAGCTTCTATGTCTCAAATGTCCCTGAGTGATAGAACAGGAATGTTTACTTGCAGAAATTCCTTGTCGGGGCCCCCCTCCCAGGATTGCACTGGGACCTGAATTCTGTACAGAGGAAAAGTGCAGGCCTTGGAATGGCCTCTCCAGCATTGTTCCTTGGCAAACACAGGAAGATGGGTTTCCTTTAGCTTTGTGGCGCTGACATCTGAATCCGGACCCATCCCCCAGCCTTTGGGGTGGGGGCAGGGAAGTGGAGGACAAGGCAAGCCGTGGAAAATAAATAGCCACCTCTGCTCCTCTGACTTATTTCATGTTCTTAGAATTTCCTCTCTTGGATTCTGGCTTTGTTATTTTAAAATTCCACGCATTGGTTAGGGCTGGGAAAATCCCTGACTGCCGTTGCTGTGGAGAAGCAGCTCCACATTGGAGCACAGTCCTGGTGCCCCAAGAGAAGTGGCCCAGCCAGTAGGCCTGCAGCCCAGTGTCCAAGTGCGCTCCTGAGTCAGCCTGTGTGCAGGAGGCTCTTGGGGCTGGGTGTGGGTGCTTCTGCGTGAGCATGTGCTAGCCCCACAGTGGGGACGTGGCAGTGTTTTGGTTCCAGCTGTCTGGGCCAGGGCCAGGCCAGAGTAGCAATGGCTCCATTGGGAAATGGTGGGGACTTCCAAAGGGGGCTCCAGGTGGACCTGTGAGGTGCATACGCTGAAAGGACTTCTGTCCCACCAGAGAGCTGTCCTATGCCCACCAGACTTGGGCTGCCTTCTCTCCTGGGCTCTGTGTGGTGGACACAGGGACTTCCTGCTCATCAGGGCTTGTACCTCTTGTCTTCCTCTCTTGACATTCCCCACAAGAACAATCATTGTGGTGTTTCCTTCCTTCACCAATTCATTCATTCACTTACTCCACAAATATATATTGAGTGCCAACCAGGTGTCTTGCACTATGCTTGGGTGCTGGAGATACAGACAAATAAATGGGAAAAAGTGGAACAATCTTAGGATCCCAACAATTAGTGATATAAAGTATGGACTGCTCATCATGTGACACAGGATGAGGGCTACAGTGAAGACAGTGAGGTTCTTGCCTTGGGTGCAGAATGTAAGGCATGCCAAAAAACTCCATAGTTAAGAGACATAATATTTTAGCAAATAAAAATCAATCCATGGTGAGCAAAATAGCAACATTTTAAATAAAGATAGGATCGGGGGCGTGGGTGGCTCAGTCGGTTGAGCAAATGACTCTTGATTTGGGCTCAGGTCATGATCTCACCGTTCATAGGGTCGAGCCCCACATTGGGCTCTGTGCTGATGGCATGGAGCTTGCATGGGATTCTCTCTCTCTTCCTCTCCCTCTGCCCCTCCTACATACACACACTCTCTCTCAAAATAAATGGATAAGCTTAAAAAAATATTTTAAGATAGGATCAATCACAGTTCTGCAGTAGGCCTGTTGGGACTGGAGTGAAAAGAAACATCAGTGGTACTGATCCTGTGTTGAGAATTGACTACAGCATTGGCAGAATAGCAGACAAGCATTAAAACATGTCATGGAGGTTTGCTTACTGGCACAGAAAGAAATTCATGGCAATATTGTTGGGTAAAAAGTGGAAGACTACAGAACCATATATAAAAATATATTCTATTTTTTTATATTAAAAAATATATTCCTATTAAAAATATATTCAGATACTAGAAATTGTAAGAGCATAACCTGAGATGTTAATAGCTCTCTTCTCTCTCTTATTGCCTTCTTTTGGTCTGTCTGTGTTCCCTGGTTATTTTAACAGCAAATCTATAATACTTGTATGATTTTCTTTTTTTTTTTTAAATTTTTTTTAATGTTTACTTATTGAGAGACAGAGAGACAGATCATGAGCATGGGAGGGGCAGAGAGAAGGGGAGGCACAGAATCTGAAGCAGGCTCCGGGCTCCGAGCTGTCAGCACAGAGCCCAACGCGGGGCTCAAACTCACGAACCGTGAGATCATGACCTGAGCCGAAGTCGGATGCTTAACCAACTGAGTCACCCAGGCGCCCCAATACTTGTATGCTTTTCTTAAAGATATTTTTTAAAAACCCAAGGGAGTTGAAGCAAAGGATGCTAGTCTGTACAGCATAGCTGGTCATGGGCTTTATGACTTGTGAGAGGCTGGAGAACTCCCCACATCAACCCCTTCTCAAGGCTGGTGAGGGAGAAGGTTCAGGACTACCACTCCAACTTTATAGATGAGAAAGGCAAGGTCCAGCGAGGTGAGGGGGTTCAGAGAAGAGTATGCATATGGGGTGAGGTGGAACCAGCTTTTGCCTCTAGGTCTGTCTGCTAGAATCCACATCACCCTTAGCATGGCATGCTGGGTTCTTGCTTCCCAGCTTCTTTCAAGCTAAACATCTTGGTGTCTATTCTTTGTGGCCAACTACTCTCCACTGACCTACCTCTTCCATTGGTGCTTTTCTTTCTACAGAGCAGAACTATAGAAAGAAAACCTGCAAGAAATATCTGGGTAGATGTAACTGGCCCCTCTCTGGGCCCTCAGTGAATGACAAGTGGTCTTGTGAGTGACTGAGTGAAAGAATGAGAAAGTGATTCCAATGTTATGTTTTTCTCTCTGGCATACTCCTCCCCCTCACCCCCCCCCCCCCCCCAGACTGGCATGAATCATAAGTAATTCTCTAAAGTCTCCATCTGCCTGGAAGTGCCTTGTGGTATTTCTCAGAGTTCACAGGCCATCAGCCCTGCATG